ACTTGTATCTCTACTTTGTCTCTGCGGCATACTGCTATGGGTGGCGGTCGTATCAAACAACTTGAAGATCTTCGCGCACCAATGTCGGTCATACTTGGCCACATCGCTAAGCAAGTGGCTAATGCTCAGAGATACCGGGCCAAGTACGGCCCCCTCGAGAGTTCTGACGAAGGAAGCGACACAGAGCAAGAATAGCAAACCCCGTTCAATCTTGGTTTCTCTCAGCCTACAGAATCCGGTACGATGGTACATCCCCATGGCGATTTCATCGACCTGAACCCCTAGCGCTATAAACTTGGTTGCATTATATCTAGTACAGCATTATACTATATCTTCATTTCGCTGAAATGCGTTATGAAATGATCTCCTAACGACAGCAAGGGAACGACTTGTTTTGTTTGAGTTCTAGGACGGTGGATGGGGAAATGGCGTTTCCTAGGAGTAGCATACCAGGATCATCAAAAGGAATATGTTTTACTGGGTGAGGTCTCTAGCCTCCGTTATGCCTTATCTTGAATGCTTCTATACCTAAGAAGGGTTGATTAGCGATACTAGTGGATCGTGGCATTGGATTGCTACAACTGTTGAGGACAGTGTAATATCCGTTTTAGGCGTTGCGGCATTTGGACGGATTGGGTTGAAGAAAGGAGTAATCAAACACGCCGGACATTGCAATGTCCAATGTTGGGGAGCCGACTTACCAACAAATGGGTGGAAAGGGGTGGCTGAGCTACTCTTAATTGATATCAACATCATGAGTATACTTTTTTGAAAATATCATTTCTTCCTACTCCAATGAAGGTCGAATTTCGCATCTTATCCTGATTCTGAATAAAGAGAAGAGATGCCGAGAGAGCCTAACGTCCTTTAAGACCTCTGAGCAGTGCTACGTAGAACGCGAGTGACTTAACAAATCTATGAGCAGGTCACACTAAACACCAGCTTCCGAGTAGGATTATAGAAAAAAAAGCGATAATTTCACTCATGTCCTCGAGTCCTCGCGTATGTAATCTCTTTAACCCCAGGGCGCCACCTGATGACAAAGAGCAGTCGTTGTCTAGACTCAAGCCACAACGACCAATCTGTTATAGTAGTGGACCGGTCCGTGATACCGCCCGCGGCCCCAGGTCCCAGAGAGGGAAATGAGGCTCGATAAGGCCCCTGAATTCGCCCATAATCTAGACTACGCGTGGCTTGCTGACCTAGGCACCCGGTGCTCAAACCATTCTAGAGCTGCCTCAGCCCTACTAATAGGTCGGTCGACCCTAGTCGGGGACCCCGTCAGACACCCCCGGACAGAACTAGTTTATTCAGCTCGCAGGAGACGCCTGGGGACCGTATTTCGAAGAGCTGGGCCTGAAGCTCCGTGTGGCCTAACCGAAATGGCTTCACGATGCGGTGTGTATGTGCGTGTGTATCTATATAAGACTCGTCGCAAACGAGACATTATCTAGAGAAATAGCACTCGCACTCTCCTGCATCTTCGGCATATAAAACACTAAAGGGACTGCCACGTTACGTCTCTATCCTCTTTCCCCTATCCTATTACCTCATCTTTAATCCCAGTACACAGAGTCTCTACCGAACGCCGGCATGCCTCCGGTAAAAGACCAGAAGCCTAAAGGCGACAGCGACGGCGAGAAGAAGAGGAAAGAAGCGCGCTATTCCAAGTGGTGGGTGACGGGCCTATCCTTCTGCGGTCTGACGGCGTCGTACATCTTTGGGTCGGCGCACTTCGTTCCCGCACCTCCGGGTCTCCAGACCTGCCTCAACAAGGTCTGCGCCGGCCGCTCGAACTGCGTCCGATATTCGGGCACGGACAACTACCGTTATTACACGGACTGGATACGCCCGTGGAATCTCGTACACGAGGTCGTCCCGGCGGCTGTGGTGCGGCCAAACAGCGCGGAGCAGGTGGCGGCTGTCGTCAAATGTGGCGCGGAGCATAATGTCAAGGTACAGGCGAAGTCTGGAGGTCACTCGTACGCGTAAGTCGTCCCTGTCCTTAAGAGATTTGATATTTGCGTACTATGTTGTCGTTCGAGACTAATATTATTTGTCAATAGGAACTATGGTAAATTTCTCCTGACATCCGTTTACTGTGCTTAAGCAAGCTTACAATATGTTGGATAATAGGTCTCGGAGGACGGGATGGCGCCATCTCCATCGACTTGGAGAACTTCCAGTATGTCGAGCTGGACACAGCCGAGGACTCCTGGCAGGCTCGCGTCGGAGGCGGGACGAGATTAGGGAAGGTGGACGACGAGCTTAACAAGAAACGTCGATCCTTTGCCCACGGTGTCTGCCCTGGTGTTGGAATAGGAGGTCATGCGACTATTGTGCGTCATGTCTTTCTATGAGAGCTCCTCCGCTCTCGATGCAAATACTTGTGATAGTTCTATACTAACTATGCTATAGGGAGGCTTGGGCCCAATGTCTCGCATGTGGGGTGCCACGCTGGATCACATCGACGAAGTCGAAGTCGTCACGGCAAATGCACAAGTCATCAGAGCTAACACTCACAACAACTCGGATCTGTTTTACGTGAGTTCCTCTCTCTATTCTCTCGTCCACTATACGACTACAAACAATTATCAACAACACCGCTCACACAGTGACACCTTAGGCCGTGAGAGGCGCAGGAGCCGGCTTCGGCATCGTCACCGAGTTCGTCATGAAGACACACCCTGTGCCTGAAGACGTGATCCACTACACCTACCACTTCCAGTTTAGCCACCTCCCCGAGCTCGTCGACATGTTCCTCGCCTGGCAGACGCTCGCCGCAGACCCCCTGCTCGACCCGCGCCTCGGTACCGAGTTCATTCTCTGGACGCGCGGCGCGACTGTCTCGGGGACATTCTACGGCACAGAGGCCGAGCTAAAGCGCACAGGTATCCTCGACCGTCTCCCGCGTGGAAAAGACCCCGTCGCGCTACGGCGGACCTCGTGGGAGGGCTCGCTAGCCGATGGCGCCTCGCGCGAGGCGCTATACGCCGCCGACGTCCCGTGCAAGTTCCTCTCGAAGAGTCTCGCCTTCACGCGCGACGACGTGCTCTCGCGGGCGCAGATCGAGGACCTGTTCAGATGGATTGACAAGCAGCACAAAGGGACGCATCTCTGGTCCATCATCTTCGACGCCACGGGGGGCCAGATATCGAAGGTGCCGGCCGAGAGCACAGCGTACGCGCACCGCGACAAGTTCATGTTCTACCAGTCGTATGGTGTCAATGTCTTCAGTGGTGCCAAGGAGACCAAGAACTTCCTCACTGGTTTCCATGACAAGTTGTTGCAGACCTTGCCTCAGCGTGACCATGGTACGTACCCTGGCTTTGTCGACCCTGAGCTGAAGAAGCCTCAGGAGGCATACTGGATGGGAAACCTGCCTCAGCTGGAGAGGATCAAGGCGAAGTGGGACCCCACGGACTTGTTCCATAACCCTGGGAGCGTTAGGCCCGTGGTCTAGGGGCTTGTTAGACAGAGAGATGTATATTTACTCCGACGGGCATTGTATGTGTACGTAGATAGTACATGCCTAATTATAATAACCGAGAAACAAGCCTTGCATGGTCCATAGCCTTGCAGTTCGTAGATTCGCTTAGCTTACCAGATTCACATCCACTAGAGATTTATCAAACTCTCGTCATGATTTCACTGTATAATCAGATAAGCATTTAGGGAAACATGCGTGGGAGTGGCACTAGGCTGTCATAATGTCGCATGTGTATGGGATAAATGACTGCTTATTACCACGGGTTCGGGCCCGAGCATAATAGGATGCTAATGACGCAAACTGGCCCCTTACTTGTGATGCCTATCCAAAGCATCGTTTAAAAGAAAAAATGAGACGAGAGGGAATCTGTATCATTTTAGGTGCTCAGTTTTCAGAAAAAATTGGACAGCTTGTCACATCGCAAGCTAACGCATGGGACGATATATGTAAGAAAATCCTCAGGAACCGCCTTGATATATATATATTACCCTATTATATCACAATACCCAATTACCTATCATATGATACCCCCTGCATGTCATTTTTACCTCTTTTAGGCCACCCTGCACGCCCTACAGACCCCTTCCTTTACTGTTGTATCATAAGGTCCGTCCTTTCGCCCACACTTGCCGAACGACCTGTCCGACTTGATAACCTCGAAGCACTTATGCTTGATGCCGACCTGGGACAACATTTTGGTAGCACAAAGCTCGCACCTTAGATGTTTGTTTTCCGAGTAGCACATGGTGAATTTGTGGTGTGATGTTCTTGCTGCTCTTTGGTTTTTTTTTTACCTATCCCCTTACGCTATTACCTGTTTGTGTGTTTAGCTTCGGTCAATAATCCTGAATTGCCTTCGGTAGTCTTATTTATATAGATATCGGTAGCAAGCTTCGTTGATTCATTATATTCAGACTGCGACTGCTTTGTCTTGATAGATTTTACATAGACCTTTTGGCATTGCCTTGTTCGAATGGAAGAATTGAAGGACAAAAAAGGCCGGTCTCCCTTGTGGGCATAGAAAGGACCAAGTTCCTGCCAAGCAGAATAAAGCACCACAATTCATTCATTATTATCTTCGCTTTATGGGCGCTGGCTTTGTTAGGGTTCTGGAGATGCTGAGGTGTGTGGAAAGGGGTTGGTAACTCTATAGCTAAGACCTGAGCTCCGGTATTATCATTAAAAAGGCTAGTGAGTACGCCTTCTTTATGCATTCGTGGTTGGGAAGAGATTGAGCTATTCTTAGTAAGAGTAGTGGCAGTAAGAAGACGTGAGGTATGATGGGAAAAAGAGACCTCAACACCAAAGTCGTCCGCCAAACAGAGGGCAATACAAAACATGTTCAAGGATAGTTGCCACAAGGCAGGAACACCGTTTCTGCGTAATCAGGATAAAAAAACATGAAGGCAGACATGTATTTATCCACTCAACATATGAAATGAAAACATGGAGTAAATAAAAACTAGAGTAAAAAGCAGGACAAAAATAAATAGAAAAAAAACAAACAAACTGCACCAGCCGGGACTTGCACCCAGGTCTTTTCCTTCCTTGCCCATGTATGAATAATGGGAGGGAAATGAGTTAACTACTACTCTACTGGTGCTGTTGAAGAATCAATGTGACTATGAGTACTTATTACGTTGCTGTCGGGTTGTCTTGTTGTTTGCTCAGAACGCGTACACTATGGCGGTACCCGCAGGAGGTACCGGAGTACATAGCTGAGATTCCCTGCTCACTGTCGATTGCGGGCGTGCAAACAAACGCTGTCTAAGGCCGCCGTGTGATCGATCCTATTGGAACTCACGCAGCTGTGAATCGAAAATGGTGTGTATGTATAATGTGACCTCGCTCACCCCTCCCTCCCTCCCTGACTCCTGAAGGGAGGCAGCCTACATGACATATGCAGCTAAGATTCTGCAAGGCGCACGAGATCCTGTACTGTACGATTTGAGAAGTTAAAGCTGACCCTAGGGGAAGCTTAGGCACATGTCAGATTAGACAGCTTGAAAGTGTTGGTAACTTTGACACTCGTCATGCAAGGCTGACAGACGTACATGCAGAGGTTGAATCCGTAGCTTATTTTGCACTCTATAGATGAGAACTATCGCGTTCATATCTCTTGGACATACTTGATACTAGCACAATTTACCCATGAGTGCTGCTGTCATGAGCTATATGTATGCTGGATACCGGAGCTTGACATGTGGTGATGGGTCCACGGTTGCGTGCGTCTCAGGACCATCATCTACTGGCTAAGATGATATACAACCCATCTACTAGAGGATGAGAAATACATACGTCTATGTAATGCGTACTGTACGCGTTGCGTTTGCTGGGGAGGCACTCGGGGCAGAAGATGAAAGATATATTTATTATCATAACTAGGTCAAAAGAAGCAGAATTATAGATTAAGGGTGCTTTACTTTGTCTATTCATCGCTCTGATTTCTGACCTTTAAAGGGTCACTTACTGTATGGAGGCATTACATAGTACAAGACATTTGTCGCTCACTTTCTATGGGCAGTCCCAACACACCCGCCATAGACCATGCTTCATCTTTCCCACTCTCCCTACTGCCATGCTAGAGCCATGCCCCTAGAACAAGCCCGCAAACGCAATTCCCACAGTTCCATCCTCAGTTGAGTTGGCTGAAGTGTTATCTGGACACATGTCTCTCTTCTCCAGCAGACAGCCGTGTTGCACCTAACAGGGGATAGGCTAAGCAGCCCAATCTTAGTACACTGTAGAAATAGGGCCAAAGGGTATATAAAATATGCACGCAGTCCAGTTCCAAAAACAAAACAGAATACACTCGCAGAGCAAAACATGTTCTCTATAGTATAGACAGCCAAATCCTCTCACGCATTGAAAGACTGTGCTCATGATCCCGTCAGTTTCCTCCACCAGCTACTTCGAGGTGTTGCATCCATGAATAATTGCTCCCGCTGTGCCTTGTCTCCACTTCCATCTGATCCACCTACCCGATGCTCTCGGCGCTCGCGCTCTTCGCGTCGTGCGCGCCTTCGCCTCTGGTCATCTTCGTAGTCTTGATCCGCATCGCCGTACTTCTCTCGGCGACGGGCCGCTCGTCGCGCAGCTCGCCGGGCTTCCTCGTCGTCTGGAGCCGGAGGAGCGTCCGTCATTGGGCCATCGTTAGGGGGCGGACCCGCATCTGAATGCTCCTTCACCCATGAGCTCGTACCTGAATGAGGCCAGGTTGGCGTCCTTTTCTTGCTACGTTCATCGTCTGTGTGCCTAGAGGATCTTTCCCGGGGGTACACATAGTCATCCATGGGCGCGGAACGTTCGCGGCTAGCCTTTTCGGCCCGTCTAGCATCGCGTCTCCGTCGGCGCTCCTCGTCATCTTCGTTCCCTTCCGGATGTCGCATGCGCCGTCGCTCAGCCCGGGCAGCTCGACGAGCTTCTGCCTCTGCTTCCTCAGCAGCGGCGGCTTCTCTTTCAAATCTACGGCGCCGGCGATCTGCCCTCTCAGCCTCTCTCGCTTCGGCCTCTTCGTTTGCGAGTCGTTGGGCTTCGCGCTCGCGTGCGGCCCTACGTTCCCGCCGTCGGGCTTCTCGCTCTTCTTGTCTACGCGCTTCTTCCTCTTCCTCCTCTTGACGCCTGCGCCTTTCACGGCGAGCATCTTCTTTCGCGCGGCGAGCCTCTTCGGCCTTTTCTTGTTCTCTCGCTGCTCGGCGAGCGGCGCGTCGGGCTTCACGATCGGGGTCGACTTCCGGTTCCATATTACTCGTTCCTCGTGCCCGTCTTGCTCTTTTATCGGGTCTTCCTTCGTCGTCGGTCGCATGGTACGTACTTCGGCGGCGAGGAGGTTCCGGGCGGGGTTCAGGACGAGGTTCAGAACGAGGATTCGAGGACATGAGACCACCAAAAAGACCGGAGATACCCTTCTTAGCACTTGAGTTGGATCGTCTTATAGGTGTCGCGTCAGCATAGCCTCTTGTATTGCCTGTGACGAAATCATCTTCAAGCTTTGCCTTTGGTCGCCTGCGCGCTGACTTATCAGGGCTTGAAGGAAGGTCGCGGCTTCCGACCATGACAATATCGTCGTCTTCTTCGGTAGCACGCATTCTCGAGGTTCGTCGACTGTGGCCTTTGTCCACTCCAAGAACTCGTGCCGCCTTCGGGGTCAGGTCAGGCATTTCTTCCGGCGGAGGTGACACAAGTCCACCACTCATTTCTACGGAGTGCCGTCTCGAGCTGGATTTCCCCGGGCGCTTGTCGCGAGTTGACATGGACCGCGAGATAGGAGGAGTGCTTTGGAAAAGGCTATTCATGCGCGGCTTAGCAGTTGGCGCGGATCTCTGATCTTGTCGCTCTGCTTTGTCTGAACCTGAACCCTTGGAAGGTGCTTTCTCTTCTCTCTCCTTCTTTGGCCTTTTAGCCTCAGACCTAGACTTGGGCGACCTTTTCTCTTCCCTCTGGGGTGTAGCTGAAGCGGACCACATGCCCCATGATGCGCCGCCGTCGCGACTAATCTTCGTTCGTTCTCTCCTGGAGGATCTGGGCTCATCAGGAGGTGATGGGGGTGATGAGGGCGCTTCAGGTACCGCAGGCGGTGGAGGAGGTACGGCGGGTGGCACAGGAGGATGGGTAATATCTCTAGATTTGCCCTTCTTACTCTTCTTTGGCTTCTTTTCTACAGGGGGTGAGAGGTCGATGATTTCCACAATCTCGTCTTCATCATGAGCTGCATCTTCATCCATAGGGAAACTACCAGGAAGGACGTCTTCGTCTCTCTGTAGTGCAGGTGGTGGCGCTGGTGCTTCAGGGAGGACATTGATCAGGTCACCCTCGGAATCATCGTGTCTTTCGGGCTCAAATTTCTTAAGCCTCTCAGCGAGCTTAGTTCCTTTGGCCCTCTTCCCGGGCATCCAATCATCGATGATGGCCTTAAAGAAGGTTGGTGGGGCTTCGTCTACTGCGGCTTCTTCCGCGGTAGAATACTCCAGAGACTTGGCTGACTCATCAATTGGAATCTCGGATGTTTCCGAGTGCTCGGGCTGAGCATTCACCATTTCAGGAGTCGAGCTTTTCGGACTGTGTTTGGCACCCCAGAATGCAAAAGGATCCTCGCTTTTGGGTTTCTTGGGCGGTGCTAGCGCAAGGATCTCCTCCGCCTGTTCAGCTGTTAGGTCCACATTGTCAAGATTGAAATCGTCGTTGTTGTCGTTGTTACTGTTAGTGTTGTTGTCGTCGTCCTTCTTCTTTTCTTTGCTGCTCGATTTCGATTTCTTGTCTTCAGACTTGGAGCTTTTCTTTGACTTCTTGGCTGCAGCTGCTTCAGCCGCCTGTCGCTCGCGCTCAGCTTTCCTTTCAGCCTTTTCGGCCTTGCGCGCAGCTTTTGCAGCCTGCTCTGCTTCACGTGCGACTTGGGCGGCTTCTTCTGCCTCACGTGCGGCTTGCTCCTCTGCCTCGCGGGCTGCCTTCTCTTCAGCCTCCCGCTTAGCAGCCTTCTCGGCTTCTCGGGCAGCCTGCCAAGCCTTTTCAATCACAGCTTGTGCGGCGGATCGTTCGGCCGAGCGTTCTGCTTCACGTTCCGCTTCGCGTGCGGCTTCCTCCTCAGCCTCCTGTGCGGCTTTTTCTTCAGCCTCGCGTGCAGCTGCCTCTTCGGCCTCGCGCTCAGCTTCCAGAATATCAGCGTCCGAGGCACTAGTAGTAGGATCGGTGGTGCGGGCATTGATCTTTTCGGTAAGTTCGTCGAGTCGCTCTTGATCTTTTTTAGTAAACTTTTTCTTCTTCTTGGATTTTGCCGTTAATTGCTCGAACTCGAAATCTTCTGCGGCTTCCTCCTCTTTGCGTGCAGCTTCCTCTTCAGCCTCACGGGCAGCTTGTTCTTCAGTTTCGCGGGCCGCCAGCTCGGCCTCCGCTGCTTCACGGGCGGCCTGTTCTTCAGCTTCACGAGCGGCTAGTTCCTCGGCCTCGCGTGCTGCTTGCTCCTCCACAGCGGCTTGTGAGTTTGCTTCATCAGCATCAGCAGTACCTGCACGGGCGTTAATTTTCTCAGTCAACTCGTCAAATCGCTTTTGATCCTTCTTAAGCAACTTCTTCTTTTTAGCTTTCATTTTAAGTGCTTCGAGTTCCGCTTCCTCGGCTGCTGCTTCTTTAGCTTCGCGAGCGGCCTGCTTTTCTGCTTTGCGTGCTGCCCGCTCTTCGGCCTCACGAGCAGCCTGTTCTTCTGCTTCACGCGCTGCTAACTCTTCAGCCTCGCGCGCAGCTTGTTCTTCAGCCTCGCGAGCGGCTTGTTCTTCAGCTTCGCGGGCGGCTTGTTCCTCTGCTTCACGGACGCGTAGCTCTTCAGCTTCGCGGTCGGCTAGCTCTTTAGCCTCACGGGCGGCTAGCTCTTCAGCTTCACGTGCAGCCTGTTCTGCAGCTTCAATTGCAGCCTGTGAATCTCCATTGTCGGATACTCCATCAGCTTTAGGAGCCGCAGCGGCACGGGCGTTAATCCTTTCAGTAAGCTCGGCGAATCTTCTTTGCTCCCTTTTAAGCAACTTTTTCGTTTGAGCTTTTGTTTTGAGTGCCTCAAGTTCCGATTCGTCTGCTGCTGCTGCTTCTTCAGCTTCACGAGCAGCCTTTTCCTCG